AACTGACCAGCGGCTGACTACAGGAAGCCCGAGGCAGAGTTGCTCTGCCCCAGGCTTCCTGGAATCAGCCGCTGATCAGTTTCAGCAGCAGCTGACTTGGGGACGCCTGGGGTTCTTAAGTTGAATCAGTATGTAAGTCAGAACTGGCGTCCAGATTCAGCCTCGGTTGAAACTGATCAGTTTCAGCAGCAGCTGATGCCAGTTCCGACTTACATACAGATTCAACTTAAGAACAAACCTACAGTCCCTATTTTGTACGTGGAATCAGCCGCTGATCAGTTTCAGCAGCAGCTGACTTGGGGACGCCTGGGGTTCTTAAGTTGAATCAGTATGTAAGTCAGAACTGGCGTCCAGATTCAGCCTCGGTTGAAACTGATCAGTTTCAGCAGCAGCTGATGCCAGTTCCGACTTACATACAGATTCAACTTAAGAACAAACCTACAGTCCCTATTTTGTACGTAACCCGGGGACTGCCTGTATATGAAAAGTGAGCTCTGCTAGTCTTGTGGACAGGGGACGTTGTCCATGCCACACCATACTACTCAGCCTGGCACAGGAAGGCAACACAGGCCTCTCCCTTCTTCAAGCTGCAAGAAAGCAAGGGGCAGGTCAGCATCCTGAAAGGATGTTACAAATGGCTTTGCTCTCCATTTCCCAATCTTGACCGTTAAAAAAGGCAATGAATGCACGTACTTACGTACATACTATACATTTGAGAGAGTTGGACTGTCTTTCAAGAACTCCTCCTGAATGGTAAGAGTTAGGACCACCAAATTTCATCTACAGCATCCTCTTACCATACTTAAAAGCAAGGTAAGGATTTTGTTGTGTCAGGACAATGGGATGTGCCTGGAATGGGACTGCTTCTCATTAAACCATACAGAAAAGAGACCGAATCATCAGGCATGTGAAAGAGGCTAGCTGGAGATGCCCTTTCTCTGTTTGGCACTGCCCCAACCCCCTAGCCTCTCACTCCTCAAGTGCCCTTTAGGAAGGACGGAGGGTGAGGTGCGGAGCTGAAGCTCTCTTCACCGCTCCCAGATTCATAGAGGGATATTGCTTGCTGTTCCCCTTCACCAAGGAGTGAAAGGGCACTCTGGCTGGGGAGTGCAAGGGGCAGATAAGTGCATTTTTCTCTCGATCCCTGACAGGGACAGGAAAGGGAAGAGCAAGCAGTCCTGGTACTAATCTCGAAGGCGGGGCACACTTCGGCATCCCCGCCTTTCCTCCACTCCCTCCCCCACCTCCAGCCCTCCTCACCCTCAACTCTGACTCCTGCAACCCCCCCCACCTCCAGCCCTCTGCCCTGAGCAACACTGGGTGAACGTGCTCATATATTTTACACAGACACAGACACACACGCACACACACACAGGTTGAATCTCTCTAGTCCAGAACTCTGTTCCAGAAACATCCTCTGTCCAGAATGATTTTAGTTAGCTGGATGTCCACTTTTCATGGGTGTGGCCAAGTTTTCTGTAGTCTCATAAAGTTTGTTTACAGCCACCAGTCTTGGCCCTCAGTGTTCCGTGCTGTTATTTAGCTTGAATTTACCCCTAAATATCCTCCAACAGTCCAGGAAACAGTGGAAGCATTGGTAATGCTGCTAGACAATACTGACCTCCTGTAGTTTGGAAAATTCTCTGCTTCAGAACCGGTCAGTTCCCAAGAGCGCTGGACTAAAGAGGTTCAACCTGTAGCACATTCACTCCCCGTTGCTCGGGTCTTTAAGGAGAGGGCTCAGAGCAGGGGGCTGGAGGCATGTGTGTGTGTGTGCGTGCACACAGATACAATGTATTTGATGTATTTATTCTAAATGTCATTAAATGTATAAGCTATCATGTGCATTTATTTATAAATATTTTGTGGTTTGCTATCATCAAATAGTCCCTATATAATCTCCTCTAAGACTGGAGCACTTACCAACAAATGTATTTTTAACTTTAATATGGTATTTTCAAAACTGAATTCCAGCAACCATGTAACTGAAGTCAGTAACAGCAACAACCCGAAGGGTCATTTGCTAAAAGAACATAGCAAATGAAGAACTGTCTTTCCTGTCTTTTTTTTTTTTTTTTTTGTGATGGCTTCAAGTTAAAATGAAATCATAACTTTTAACCTCATTTACTGCTGTTTTCAATTACAGAATTTAATGAGCCTTTATTATTTACAGTCTATTAAGTAACAAACAGGAAAGTTTCAAATGAAGATGATCAACATAACATGGCGCTTCAACCAATATGAAACTACATGTTGGATTAGGATATAAAATTAAGCTTCACGCCCCCAGGTTATGCAGCTCTTACCTTGGCACCTTCTACAGGCAAATCATGGCGTCTGTGTTTCCTCATAAATCCTGGATCAGAACCCATTCGGTTGTGCCTTCCATTTATATTCGAAGGTGCAGTGAGTCCTGGTTTGGGGGAACTGTCAGTTACGATTCGACATGCTACTAACGGATTTGTCCCAAACGCATCCCTATGGCACCAGGCTTCAAGTGGCACAGGCTGGTCTCTGGAAGGCACACTTTCAGGGTGATGCAAATGTCTACTTATCCTGTTGTCTGGTGGGATTGGAGGGGGTCTCTCAGGAGGAGGTGGAGGAGGATCTCTCAAGGGAGGTGGTGGTGCTGGAAGGGGTTTATCTTGTTTCCTCACCATACATGGAGAAGACTAAACAAAACCAGAAATTAAAATAAATTAAAGTCTATGGATGCACAACTCAAGAAAATGTATTGCTTTATCTTTTCTGTCTATGGGACAAACTTCAGGCAAAGGCTAACCAATAAGATATTAGATCATAAAGTGGCATCATAATAGCATTGGGATGCACCAATATGCTAATCCCAAATCCAATCTTCTCAAGCAGTGGGGTTCTTAATCAGTGACTCTTTCTTCGCGAAATGGGTATCTGTTTCTGGGAGGGAAGGGCTGGTATCTCCAGGTGGTTAATCTCCTGACTCACGCTAGGGCTGCGTCTTCCACCCCTATATAGCTTCAGTAACCAGCACAAGGAGGTGTGGGTTCCACGCACAGGACGAATGGACACTGCTCATTAAAATCTCCAAGCAAGAACTTGAGAGGCATATGCACATCTGAAGTGGAGCCCACAGAGCTGCTACTCAAAGAAATTTGTGCTACTGAGTGAACGTCAGCACTAATTTTAAGACCACAGCCTCTTTCATACCATTTAAGTTAAATGTTAGAGTTAATTAAAAATGATAGGGATGAGGAAATATTTGTATATACCTAATCTGTTTTGGCTAAGTATTATGCTACTAGAATTAAATCTAATTTCAAAATAAAGCAAAATGCTGATAAAATAAATAGATTGTTTATCATTGGACTGCCAGGCACACATACAAGCTAATAAAGGATTCAAAAAAATGCCTTCAAAATTTAAGCTAATTTTTACACTTGTGCACCAATTACAGGTTTTACCTCCCTTGTCCAGTACTCTTGGGACCTGACTGGTCCTGAAAGGGAATTTGACTGTCCAGTGGAGGTCAATGCCAGCCCCTCTGCTGTCACTGGTTGTGGGGCTCTATTCTGGCATCAGCAGAGGGGCTGGCACTGACGGAGGGGGTGGAGGGTGGATGGAGAGAGGACACTTAGGGGAAGAGGCAGGTAGCTGTGGACTGCACTCCTCAGCCCTGGCCACAGAGCTCTGCAGCCATTTTGCCTCTTCCCCCAAGTGCTGCTTCTATTCCTACTCCACCCCTTCCTCCCTGAGCGTGAGTGCTGCAAATGCCTCATTTGCTGCACTTTGGAAGCATTAACGGGGCTGGGGAGGAGTAACTCAGTGCGGGACCTCCACCCTCTCCCCTGCCCCGAGTGTGCCAGCCTCAGAGCACCAACGGATGCTGGACTATGGATGTTGTCATACGAGAGAAGTCTAGATTACTGAGGTTCAACCAGTACAATAAAATGGCTCTCATAATAGAGGAAAACACAACACAAATACAGTATTTTCTGTTTTCCTTCAGACTTTCATGTATGTAATTTTTAAAGCTGTTCTAGATGATCAATTTTCTTCATACACAAATACTGTATTTATTATATATACCCTTTTCTACATCCACTTGAAACATGGATCCAAACTGATCACACCTTAAGTTTTTGATAGCAAGATATTTGCATAGTTCTTCTTGCTAGGACATTGCAGGAAAAGAGTTTCAATTATCATTTGATTACAACATGCAATTTTAATGCAGATAATGACCTTTTAAATCTACTTTAGAGTACTTTCACAGTTGCTGTTTAATGTTGCAAATCAGGGATTATTAGAGGGACTTGTTCCATCAGACTAAGTCAATACTATGGTTTTAAAATAGTGATATATAAGCATGGAGCTAATCATGTGTAACATTGACATCAAAAGAGCAAAATATAAGCTTGGAGCTAATTCTGTGTGACACTGCCATCTAAGTAGGAAATCGTGTTTGCGTCTCATTAGCTGATTCTGCCAGATGTCATATAGGAGGATAGCCATGGGGTCTGATTCAAGGTTCATTGAAGGGAGTAAGTCTTTTCTACTGATTTAAAGGAGGCTTTCATTAAGCCCTTATTTTGTGAATTGGGATATATTAGAATTACAGGCAGTCCCCAGGTTACATACAAGATAGGGACTGTAGGTTTGTTCTTAAGTTGAATCTGTATGTAAGTCGGAACTGGCATCAGCCGCTGCTGAAACTGATCAGTTT